GGGGCCGGGTGGCGAGGGGGCGAGCTGGGGGAGGCCGTGGAGCGGGGGAGAGCCGGCTGGATGCTGGGCACCGCTGCCTACCCATCCTATGCCCTACAGAGGAGCTTGGTTTTCCCAGGAGCCGCGTGGAGGCACGAGCCTTTTGTTCCTGCGAGCGCTAAGGTCCTGCAGGTTAAACTAGCCCAGGTTAAGCTGGCCTAGACGGGATCCAGATCCCTCTACCAGCACCTCCACAACCCAGACGGTGCTGCTGGAGATGGCGGTCCACCTGGTCCTGGGCTTCGGCATTGTGTGATGAGACCTGGAGAAATGCCCAGGGCAGGGACCCTCAGTTAACTGGGGAGCTGAATTTGGCATAGGTCCAGTTTTACTGAACTGGGAGGGATAGTCCTCACTAAGCTCCTTATACCCTGAAACCAGAGATCGCCCTGAGTCCACGTCCCCGCAGCAGGAGAGAGCGGGTGCTCTGCCGTTGATGTAATGTGGAACTGGAGGAGGCATTTACGGCCCGGGCTGTTGCGCAGAGAGAAAGCCGCTCCCCAGTCCAGCAGGCAAGTTGAAAGGAAGAGGGCCAGAGCCCTGCGCAAGGGACCAGTGGTGCTAGCAGCAAGAAGGATGTGCTGCTGAGCCAGTAACCTGTATTTGAGTTGCAAGCTCTCAGAGTCACGGACTAGCTCTTGACTTGCAAGGACAGCCCCAGGGCTGAACCTTGTCCCATGTTCACGAGCAGGAATTAAGGCAAATGGGCAAAAAAGTTAGGGCATATTAGGAGTATTAATTATAGGAAATGAGCTTACTGCAGGAGCACAAGCAGACGGGGACAGGCAAGCATGCAGCTTGCCTCCGTGAGAGGGCACGTCACCGGGCAGCAGCCCTTCCTGCACCGCCAGGGCTGAGCTCACCGAGTATTAGGCTCTTCTGCTCTCTCCAGCGAACTCATTTCTGCAGTGGGCAAAGCAGTTTGATGCACTGTGGAGGAAGGCATCTTTCGTTTGCGCCCAGACCAGCGGGCCTGCACTAAGGCGGCGGGGCTCACGTCGCCTGTGCGTGCCGGGCTGCAGAGAGCCACTCTGCTGGGGGCAACCAGATCTCCTGGGGTCTTTACTGATTTCCCCCTCATTAAACCAGCCCTGGCTTCCTTTGCCTGGAGGAGAGGCAGAGCTCTCCCCAGACCCGTGGGTGATGCCGGGAGCCAGAGCCCCGAGGCTGGCAGCAGAAACAACAGCCCCTTTTCATTTTCCGTGTGAGCCAAAGATAGGAGCTGCATTGATCCTGCTGGCATCCGAAGCAGCTGGGAGCATCAGCCAAGCCGGCTTGGGACTCTGCAGATAAACAGCACGTGGGGGAGCAGGGCGGGCGGCGGGGCAGTTTGGCTTCTTGCTGCCCCGTCAGACTCCTTTTCTTCTTCTCGCCTTCCCCCTCCTCCTCAGCAGCTTGTT